TATGTGGATGATATGCTTCTAATTGAACATAATATAAATGTTATAAATGAAACTAAAAGATCTTTGAGTGCTGAATTTGAAATGAAAAACCTTGGACATGCTAAGAAAATTTTAGGCATGGAAATAACTAGAAAAATGCATAACGTGTTATTTTTTTTGAAACTGACTGCATATGTTGAAAATTTGATTACTAGATTTTCTATGCATAATTCTAAACCCGTCTATGTACCTCTGGTCGGTCATTTTAAGCTGAGTAAGGATCAGTCTCCAGTAAATGAATCTGACATTAAACAAATGGAAAAGATACCTTATGCTAATACTATAGGATCTTTGATGTATACCATGGTTTGTACTATGCCCGATGTGGCTTATTCTATTAGTACCCTTAGCTGATTCATTGCTAATCCTGGTTTAGAACATTAGGCTGCTTTAAAATGGTTGTTGAGATATCTGAAAGGTACTTCACATTAGGATTGTGTTTTAGTGCCTGTAATAATGGAGTTGTACTTAAAGGTATTGTAGACTCTGATTTTGCTGGAAATATTAACAATAGGAAGTCTACTACATCTTATGTATTTACCTTGAGTGGTACTTATATTAGTTGGAAATCCCAACTGCAAGATTTTGTAGCTTTATCTACTACTGAGACTGAATACGTTGCTACAATTGAGGCAATAAAAGAAGATTTGTGGCTTAAGTGATTGTTGTCTGAAATTAATGAACTGTCTAATCTTATTGCATTATATTTTGACAATCGAAGTGCTATACATTTGTGTAAACATCCAATTTTTCGAAAGAATTAAACAAATTGATGTGAAGTGTCATTTTATAAAAGACATTGTTTCTAAAGATGTTTTACTTCTTGAGAAAATTGCTACCCAATTTAATCCTGCTGATATGGGTACAAAAGTACTAATTCCAACCTTGGTGCAATGTGGATTGATCAATGGAAGTTGTAGCCAATAAATAGTAACTTGTACAGTGCATTAAGTTTCCTGATAAACCACTGGCATCAATGTGTAGACTGAGAGGTTGTAATACTAGCCTAGCCCACCTAAGGCGATTATGATATGGAAATTACAAAAAATCAAGTGTTTAAATATAGCTTTTTAAAAATCAGGTTCGAAGTTTGTATATTCAAAAATCAGGTNGCATTTGGGAAATTATAAAAAATCAGTTGTTAAAGATAGTTTTTAAAAAATCAGGTCCAAAGTTTGTTATTCAAAAATCAGGTATCAATTGAATATTTAAGTAATAATATAATACTAATAATTCACACAAACCCTAATTCATTTTCAGTGGTGGTGGCTCTGCCGGTGTGCAGTGTATTGTGTACGGTTTAGGGGTGCAGTGTGCGGTGGTGGTAAGTGTGTATGTGTGTTGTGGGTACAGTGTTTTTGCTCTGCCGGTGTGCAGTATCTTTGTGTTGTGGGTACGATGGTGGTTGTGGTGGTGGTGGTGGTGGTGGCTCTGGCGGTGGGTGGGTTTGACAGTGTTTCTGTGCACGGTTGTGGTGTTGTGATGGTTTGGTTGGTGGATCAGGGTCTAGGTATGGGTGTTTGGTGGTGGCAATAGTGACGGGGATGGTGGTGGATCTGACTGCGACGAAGACAGGTGGATGCGGTGGTGGTAGTGTTGGTGACGGTAGTGTGTGACCACTATTTGGTATACGTGACCAATTACTTGATTATATGTGACCTACTATTTGATGGTATGTGACCCAATATTTGGTAATCTTTGACCAGTTACTCAACTGTGATCTAAAAATCTTACTATATGTGACTCAAAAATAATCTGTGGCCAACCAATTTAAAAATCTGTGACCAATTAATTTGGAAATCTGTGAACGTGTGACTATAAACTTTGATATGTGACCAACAAATTTTGAAATCTATGACCAACGAATTAATGTGACTTATAAAATTTTTG